GATTTCTCTGAGGATGAATGACATGAAGCACCCTTTCATATTTTGTTTTTTGTCGGTCATGGGGCTTGAACTCTGGGCTTGGGCGCTATCCCTCAGCTCTTCAGCTCACGGCAAGCGCTCTACCACGTGAGCCACAGCACCACTTCCAGTTTTCTAGTGGTTTATTGGAGATAAGAGTCTCCCAGACTTTCCTGCCCGGGCTGGCTTTGAACCAAGATCCTCAGATCTCAGCCTCCTGAGTAGCTAGGTGTGAGCCACCAGCACCCAGCCCCTTTCATGTTTAAAAAAAATATTTTTTATTATCTTTAAGTAGTTGTACAAAGGAGTGCCCTCTAACAAAGCAGTTTATGAATACAGTGCCTCTTGATCAATGTTACCCCTTTAAACATTCTCACCCACCCCTCCCACCCCATCCATTCCATCACTTTTCTTAATTTTTAGGTTATGTATTGAAACATTTAGCATTTAGCAAAACAGTTCTTGTGTGCCATTTATCTTGATCTGTGTCATCCCATCAACATCTTCAACACCCTTTAACCCACCCTTTTCCTTAGTTCTGTGGTATATACAATGCATTCTTGCCTGCATTTTAACTCCCTTGCCCCATTCATTCTTCTACTTCTCTCCCTTGGCCTCCCCTCTTGCAAGTACCCATTTCCTGGTACTTATTTTGTTGGGCTTTGACTTAATCTTTCTAAAGAATTATATTAGCCGGGCGCTGTTGGCTCACGCCTGTAATCCTAGCTACTCAGGAGGCTGAGATCTGAGGATCACAGTTCAAAGCCAGCCCGGGCAGGAGAGACCGTGAGACTCCTATCTCCAATAAACCACCAGAAAACCGGAAGTGGCACTGTAGCTCAAGTGGTAGAGCTCTGGCCTTGAGCTGAAGAGCTAAGGGACAGCGCCCAGGCCCAGAGTTCAAGCCCCATGACCGACAAAAAAAAAAAAAGAATTATATTATTTGTGCTTTCTATTGAGTCTCCACCTCTGCAATCTAATCTTTGCCTATTTTTCTCCTTTTGGTTTGTTTTACTGTTTTTTAGGAATTCTTCACTTACTTTGGAGTTCATGTCCTTTTGTGGCAAAATAACCACAAGGATTAGAAAGATAATAGGACAGGGGCTGGGAAGGTGGCTCAGTGGTAGAGCGCTTGCCTTGCATGCCTGAGGCCCTGGTTTCAATTCCTCAGCACCACATAAGCAAAAAGAAAAAAGCCGGAAGTGGCGCTGTGGGCTCAAGTGGTAGAGTGCTAGCCTTGAGTTGAATAGCTGAGGGACAGTGCCCAGGCCCAGAGTTCAGGCCCCATGACCAGACCCCCCCCCCCAAAAAAGGAAAGATAATAGGACAAAACACAGACATACTTTGAGCCATGAAGCAGGTAGATGAATCTGAGGAAGCTACTCACATGGGGCAGTGCACTTCAAGGAGTGAGACTGGACAAGGGTCAAATGCATGGAAGCTGTCAGAGCTTGGACATTTGTCTGATAGGGAGGATGAAAAATTAAGGCCCTTCCTCTGTCCCCTTCCCAAAGAGTTTGCTTGTTTTTCTTTCTTGGTCTTTCCCCCTTTTCCTTTATTCAACATTATGTCAGGATTGAGGTTGCCATAGAGAACTCCTGTAATCACAGCACTCAGGAGGCTGGCTCAAGGCTGGCCTGGACTACGTAGTGAGGCCATCTCCCCAGAAACATATGACATAACCAACAAAAACTATCAGCTGCATTCACAGCTCATGAGGAACTATATCCACATTTTACCAGAAAGTGTAATTTTTTTGCTGTAATTTAAAAATACATGTTCTTTATGCATGCTATTCTTTCAGTTCCTCATTTCCTGAGTTTTTTTCTTATTTTGAGTCAGATTTTACCAAATCTGTACTACATCTGTTGAGCAACCAACTTTTGATTTTTGTCCTGCATTTTACTTACATGGTGATTACAGTAATTGATTTTCAAATATCAAATCAACTTTACATGTCTAAAATAAGCCCAGTTTTGTCATGTCCTTTTTATATATTGCTGAATTGGATTTGCTAGCATTTGGTTTAGTTCATTCACATCTATTCATTAGTGAGAATAGCCTATAATGTTCCTTCCTCTTAATATCCTTGTTAAGTTTTAGTTATGATGGCTCCAGGAAATGAGTTGGGGAATGATACTTCTATATTCTGTAAGAGTTTGTTTAAGGTGTACATTTTCCCCCCTTCTTTAAATGTTTAGCAATATGAGCCTTCATCATGTTTCAGGATTTCAGTTAAGCCATCAATTTATTCTTCTTCCTTCCCTCTTTTCCCCCTCCTTTTTCTTTTTTTTTTTTGGTATTGGAGATTGAACTCAGGACTTTACACCTGTAAACACTCTACCACTTAACTTACACCCCAGCCACTATTGCCAAGGATTTTTAGCCTTCTCTTTTCCTTTCCATCTCCTCTTCCTTTTTTTTTTTTTCTTTTGTCATTTGTAGGGCTTGAACTCTGGGCCTCGCACTGGCGCTGTCCCTCAGCTCTCAGCCTCCTAAACAGCTAGGATTACAGGCATGAGCCACTGGCGCCCACTTCTCCTCTTCCATTTCTTTCTCTTTTGCTGTTCTGGGGATTGAACTCAAGGCTGAGAATTGAACCTAGAGCTTGGCAGGCAGGTACTCTAGCACTTGAACCATGTCTCCAGCACTTTTTTTTTGGTCCTAAACTTGGGCCTGGGCGCTGTCCCTCAGCTCTTCAGCTCAAGGCTAGCTCTCTACCACTTGAGCCACAGTGCCACCTCCAGCTTTTTCTGTTTATGTGGTGCTGAGGAATCGAACCCAGGACCTCATGCATTCAAGGCAAGCACTGTTCCACTGAGCTACCTTCCCAGCCCTCCAGCACCTTTTTTATAGGTTACTTTTGAGGTATGGTATTGCTTTCTGCACAGGTCCGACTGGGTTGTGATCTTCCTATTTGTGTTTCCCTGTGTTGGTGAGGATGGACAGGTACATGCCACTACACTCAGTCATCGATTAAAATGGAGTCTTGCTAACTTTTATGTCTGAGCTGGCCTCTAACCAGGATCCTCTGATCTCTGCCTCCCAAGTAGCTAGGACTAAAGGCTCATGGTTTCTCCTGGCTTCTACTCCTCCTCTTCTTTCTCTTCTTCCTCTTCTTCTTCTCTTCTTCTTCTGCTGCCTTTTTTGTAAGTAGATTGAACCCAGAACCTTATATATGCTAAGCAAGTACTCCACTACTTTTTTTTTTTTTTGTCGGTCGTGGGGCTTGAACTCTGGGCCTGGGCGCTGTCCCTCAGCTCTTCAGCTCAAGGTGAGCACTCTACCACTGAGCTACAGCTTCCGGTTTTCTGGTGGTTTATTGCAGATAGGAGTCTCATGGTCTTTCCAGCCTGGGCTGGCTTTGAACCGCGATCCTCAGATCTCAGCCTCCTGAGTAGCTAGGATTACAGGCGTGAGCCACCAGCGACCGGCCTAGTACTCCACTACTTGATCCATGTCTCTAACCCTTTATTTTGTATTTTGTTTTTGACATAGGATCTCATTAAGTTTGTCTGGCCTTAAGCAAATTTTTTTTTTGGCCTTAAACTTTTAAGGTTTGTCTCGAGTTCAAGACAATAATAGTACGGTAATCTTTTCAACAATTTTCTCATATTCTTCCTATATTAACCTTGTAGTCACATAAACTTGTTGTCCCAAAGATTTCTGTGTATAAACAGAGAAGTTATTTTGTTTTAATAGCTTAGTATTTCAAAGATAGCAAATTAATATAGTTCTAGATTAAATACTTTGTGTTAAGTAAATGTTTTATTATTTATTTTTTTATTGTGAAAATACTATACAGAGGGGTTACAATTACATGGGCAAGATAATGAGTACATTTCTTGTCAAGCATTGTAGCCTCCTCCTTTGTTTCCCCTTCCCATCCTCCCCCACCTCCTTTCTCCCAACCAATCCTCCCTGCCCCCACCAAAGTTGTGAAGTTGTGAAGTTTGGTTTCGACATAACAACTTGTACGTCTCATTGTTGCAGTGGGTCCACCTGTATCCCTATTTAAACGATTTGTTTTTCCCCTTCCCCTCCACAAATTATACCAACATCAAATACAGTGAAAGCAGGGGCAATACCGTGGGGGAAGTAAATGTTTTAATCTATGCCTCTGTTCCTTTTCTACTGAAGTATCCTTATTGTTTCCTCAACTTCTTAAGTGTAAGTTAGTATTCTGATAAGGGTTTATTTCCTTTTTTTTTTTTTAAAGACATTTAAGTATTTTCCTTTTGTTTTTGTTTTTGTTCCTGTGCTGAGGGTTGAACTTTTTCTGCTCAAGACTACCACTCTGCCACTTGAGCCACACCTCTACTTCCAACTTTTGCTGGTTAATTGAAGATACAAGTTTCATAGATTTACCTGGGCTAGCTTCCAACAGTGATCCTCAGGTCTCAGCCTTCTGAGTAGCTAGGATTATTTTTCATTTTAATTGCTGTCATAATGAAATACTGAGAAGATGTTTTTCAATTTTAGGGTCATTTTCCAGGACAGATATGGAGAATGAGTTAAATAGACAAATAAGTGGAAAGGATCAACATATTAGGTTGCTTACTTAGAAATTAACTTATAGAAGAGTGCATAGAAGAGAACAGGTATTCAGATATTTATCAGATGAAAGAATAGGATAAAAATTGCATTTTAATTCCTACTAACAATTCAGAATTATTTCTTTTGCAGTACTGTCTTATATTTGTGTTATTTTGATTTGAGTGTAATTAGAAAAATACTCTGTCTTTGAGGAAAATGCTATCAGATGATAGGTGTAGGTAGCCCTGTATAGGAGTCATGCCTGGAATTTCTCATCAGTAGCGGGTCGGTCCGGGAAGCTGATGCAGGAGGATTGCAAATTTGAGCCATGCTTGGGCTACCTGGTGAGAGCCTGCATAAAACAAACAAACAAAAATGATACAACTAAAGTCTCCTTCTCTTTTGTTTTTACCAACTGTTAAATAGACATATTTTTTTTCCTAAAGAACTGAATTTGCTGTTAAAGAAATCATGTCCTCTGGAGGTGCTGAAGATGACATCCCCCAAGGAGAGAGGAAAACAGTTACAGACTTCTGTTATCTTCTCGACAAATCTAAACAGCTGTTCAATGGGCTGAGGTTAGTAGACTCTTGATGCTTCAGTGTTTTCTCTACTTTTACTTTTTACTGGCTGATCTGTGGTGAGTATCTGAAGTCACAGTTAGAATGTTATAAATACCTGTATTAATGAAGTGATCATCATTTTGTTTTCCTTTGACATTACGCTTAGATGGGAAAAAAAATTTTACTCAAGTTGAAAGCTAGATGGTTTTTGCGGAGGTAGCAGATGGTTTTATGTACGCTATTCACCCCACACTTATTGGCAATCCATTCTATATTTATGGGAATACATAAGTACAGGAGTACATAGGCAACTGGAAATGGAGATTCTTGGGCAGTTTTACACATTTGTTTGTTCCTTTTCTTTTTCTTTTCTATCTTTTTTTAGGGTAGTTTACTAAGGTTCTAGAAAGTGTTGTTTCTGCTTAAGTTGGGCGTGTCTTGGGCAGAATAGCTGCTGAGGTCTTAAACACTGTATGAAATGTGTTCTGGATTTGATGGAAATAATTTTGCACCATTTCATTCAGTCCTTAGGATTTTTACCATCATACACTTACTTTTAGTTTAGTCCTTTTTTTTTTTTTTTTTGTCAGTCCTGGGCCTTGAACTCAAGGGCTGGGCTCTGTCCCTGAGCCTCTCTGTGCTCAAGGCTAGTGCTTTACCATTTAAGCCACAGCACCACTTCCACCTTTTTCTAGTTATGTGGTACTTAGGAATCGAACCCGGGGCTTTGTGCATGCTAGGCAAGTACACCACCGCTAAGCCATATTCCCAGTTTAGTTCTTGTCATAAACATGAAATAGGTAAAATACTAAGTGTGAACAGGTTTTGTATTTAAAGTTTGTACAGGAATGAATAATTTCAGAGAAGAGTTCTATTCGTTTAAAAATTATTTGTGGTAAAAATACCATCTTTGTCTCCTAAGCTTTATAGTTGTATTACAAACCCAATTTTGCAGTGTACTATCAAAGGATTTTTCATTTTGAGTTTTTTCTCTCTCACAGAGAGAATTTTTTCTCTCTCTCTGTGCTGGTCCTGGGACTTGAACTCAGGGCCTGAATGCTATCCCTAAGTTTTTGTGCTCAAGGCAAGTGCTCTGTCACTTGACCCACAACTCCATTCTGGCATTTTGGTGATTAATTGCATCTCACTGAATTTCCTGCCCAGGCTGGCTTCAAACTGAGATTCTCAGATCTCAGCTTCCTGAGTAGCTAGGATTATAGGCATGAGTTACTGACACTGCCCTGTTTGTGTTCTTCTTTTCCTTTGTAGTACAGAGATTTGAACTCAGTCTCATGCTTGTTAGGTAGGCACTATGTATACCACTTGAGCCATGTCCTCAACCCTACTTTGGTTCATTTTGAGAGAGGGGCTTGTGTTTATGCCATTCTCCTAGACCACTATCCTTGTATTTACATTTCCTATGTAGCTAGGACATGAGTCCCAGGCATGAGTTGTCATGCCAAGCTTTTCATTGGTTGGTTGGAGACCTCACTACCTTTTTGCTTAGGCTGACCTCAAACTATGATCCTCCCAATTTCTGACTCTGAAGTAACTAGGATTACAGGTGAGAGCTGTTGAGGGCTTTCATTCCTTATTTGTATTCAGGCATATTTTATTCATTGAAAACTTAACTGGCACCCAGTATGTACCACATTCTGTGTGTTAGGTATAGAAAATGCCAGGCACCAGTGGCTCCTGCCTGTCATCCTAGCTTCTCAAGAGGCTGAGATCTGAGGATCATGGTTTGAAGCCAGCCTGAGCAGAAAAGTCTGTAAGACTCAGAAAAAGCTGGAAGCAACACTGTGGCTTAAGTGGTAGACTCCTAACCTTGAGCAGATAGAAGCTGAGGGACAGTACCCAGGCCTTGAGTTCAAGCCCCAGGAGCAGCCCCCCGCCCCCACCCCCCCAAAAAAAGTGCGGAGACAAAATTGGCCATCTATTCTTCCAAATACTTCTTGAGGGAATTAGGAAAACAAAACCTAATATCCTTCTGCTCTCTGCTGGCCTGACACTGCATATCTATTGAATGTATTTCTCACCTCACTCTGCATGCCTGTGGAAATGATGGCAAGAACAAATTAAAGGAAGAGATACTTACAGAGCAGGAAGACATTGGAAATCTCACTTGAAAATCCCTGTGAGCTTCTGGCTCCTAAGCTCTCTTAATGATGAACATAGTTCCATTTGCTTTCATCCTTCTTCCTCTTCCAGCTTTCCAGAGCTGAGTTTATACACAGCAAAACTCACTTGCTCAAAGTTTATGGCTACATGATTTACAGCGTTTACTGTTGTGAAACTCACCCCACAGTCTAACTTTAGAACATTTTATTCATTACCCAAAGAAACTCAGTACCTAGTAGAAGTGCCTCAGACCCTTATCCCTAGCAACTGCTAATCTACTATTTGTCTCTATTTATTTATTTTGGACATTTCATGTTTGTAGAATCAAATATTCTGTGCTCTTTTTGACAAGTTCCTTTCATTTAGTGTTATGATACTTCATTCTTCTTACTGGTTAATATTGCAGCATAAGGATTTCCTGGATCTTGTTTGTCTAGCCATACATTGTGGACATTTTGGTTGTTTTGTACTATTATGGATGATGGTGCAGTGGGCATCTGTGCATAGATGTGTCTTAGATACCAGTTTTCTATTCTCATGGGCATACAGCACAGAATGGAAGAACTAACTATTCCACTAATGCTACAAAGTGTGTTTTAATCTTTTGAGGAAAGTGAGAGAAAGGATAGGTTAAGAGAGATGGGTGACAATGTTATCAGACACTTTGTACTCATATACTGTTTTGTAGAATGGGAACTTCTTTGTACAACTACTTAAAGATAAAAAAAAAATCTTATCTTGCCTATGTAACTCTAACCCCTCTGTACAGTATTTTCACAATAAAAAACAAACAAAAAAAATCTTTTGAGGAGCTGCTGAATGTTTCCCAAAGTGGCTGCATCACCAGCATTGTGTGCAAGGTAACATGACTCCCTGTCTTCCCAGCACTTACCATTTCCTGTCTTTTTTTATGAGACAGCCTAGTGGGTGTGAACTGATGTCTCAGTGGTTTTGATTTGCATCTGCCTAATATCTAAAATCTGAACACATTTTTTATGCTGCTTCCATTTTGTTGTTTCTTTGGGGGGGGGGGGGTTTTAATCCCTTAAGTATTAAAAATAGATTATTTTATCTCTCATTATTAAGTTGTAGTCAGTCTTTACATTTTCCAGATGTCTGTCCCTTGTGAGACTCTATCATAAATTAACCAACAAGTTGGATAGCAGTGGCTCACACCTCCAATCCTAGCTTCTCAGGAGGCCAGGATCCATTAATGATTGTGGTTCAAAGCCAGCCCAAGCAGAAAAAGACTCAGGTAACCATCAAAGTGCCTGATTAGGGATATGGCTTAAGTGGTAGAGTACTAGCTATGAGCAAAAAAGCAAAGTGAAAGCACACAGCCCTGAGTTCAAGCCCTAATACCAGCACATACACGAAAAGGCTGGCTGGGTGATTGAAGCTGTATAGAGCTTTCCTACCAAGTATAAAGGCCTTGAGTTGAATCCCCAATATCTAAAAAATAAATTAGGCTACAGATTTTCTTTGTAATGACTCCTTTGGAGTATAATAAATTCTTGGTTTACCCTTAGAGATGTGTCTTCCCATTTCATATTGAGCTATTGGTTTGTGTTGTCACAGCCTTTCATTTTCCCAGCTCTGAATATCTTAATGAAGTACTTTTTCTTGATCAAAATCGCCTTTCTAAAATATGTACATATAAATTAGGCTCCACTCTTCCATTCACTGTGTAAGAAAGCATAGTTCAGAAAAAAGAAATTGGCAAAAATGAATGGTGTTTTATATATAGTTTCAGTAGTAATGAAGTGCAAATAATGTCAGAAAACGCTTTGAATGCTGTCAGAAAATGATCAAAAGCCCAAGTGCTTGTAAGGTTCTGGTTGTCATGGTGACTGAGACTTGAAGTCAACTGTAATACTGGGTGGGTTTATCTAAGGCAGCTATGTCTACCTACCGGTGACCTTCAGAACTTACGGTGCTTTGAAGAAGTGGAGACCTCTAAATCCCTTGTTACTTCACTGTACAGGAGCACATACACACAAAGCCAAACAAGCTTTGGAGGCCATGGGAGGGGACACACACACACACACACACACACACACACACACACACACACAGCCAAACAAGCTTTGGAGGCCATGGGAGGGGACACACACACACACACACACACAGAGCCAAACAAGCTTTGGAGGCCATGGGAGGACACACATACACACACACACTTCCCCCCACAAGTTCAAGTGGTAGGCACTAGCCTTGAGCTGAAGAGCTGAGAGACAGCGCCCAGGCCCAGAGTTCTGGCCCCATTACTGGCAAAAATAATAATAATAATAAATAACTAAATACAGAAGCTGAGCACCAGTGGCTCATACCTGTAATCCTAGCTACTCAAGAAGCTGAGATCTAAGGATCATGGTTCAAAGTGAGCCCAGGCAGAAACATCCATTAGTCTCTTATCTCTAATTAATAAAAAAAAAAGCCATAAGTGACTCAAAAAAGTACTTAGAGAAGTTATTTGTATTAAATATGTCCTTTATATTTAAAGTAAGGAATAAACCATCTACAGTATGTCCTTTAGAAGACAATTCTTTTTCTTTTTTCTTCTTTTTTTTTTTTTAATTGGCCTTGGGGTGTGAATCATGGTCTAGGTACTGTCCCTGAATTTATGTGCACAAGGCTAGTGCTTTACCACTTAAGCCACAGCTCAACTTCAGCTCTTTTGATAGTGAATTGGAGATAATAGTCCACAATTTTCTTGCCCAGATTGGCTTCGAACTACAATCATTCGATCTCAGCCTCTTGAATAGCTATAGTTATAAATGTGAGCTTCTGGTGCTTGGCTAGAAGGCTATTTTTTAGATGCCCTGGTTCCTATATGGGAAGACATTGAGAAATAACCCATCCTAGTGTTCTCATTCTCTTCCTCCATACATTTA